TCCCATTTATTAAATTCATTCATTTCATAATATCTTTTTGAAAATAGCTTATGTTTTTTGGCAAGTTACAGTTCATAAAACTTAATGTTGTGGTAAACTACCACCAACCACAAAATAATCAGTCATTACGCAGGGAGCTTTTCTCAGTAGATGCGCTAATGCATCATAATCAATCATTTGCGGACGTCTCCTCTACAGATTATAGCCAAGAAACAATACGCCAGCTACTACAGCAGATCAGAAATAGTGGCTACGAGCAGGCATTTTGGATCTCTCAAAAAATGAAAATAATATTGCAAGGGTATTTAAAGGTCTCAAAATTCATGGAAGTTTTATATTTGGCTACACTTTTACGAGATAAATCATCCCTTGTTAATCGTTATAATTTTGACTTAATTCCCTTCTTATGTCAAGAAACGATTTCAATTTACAAACCTGAGCAGATGAATTCAACTGATTGTAATACTACCCTGCCGTGGTTTTCGTTTCGCTTGATGTTTCTTTTATTTGAGATTGATGACATAGTTTCATTATTACACCGACTAAGGAAGGCATTATGTCCAAACATCAACACATTATGTCCGACCCATAGGCCCACTGCCCGATAACTCTTATCAAGTTGTGGGCATCTATCGGCCTTCTCTGCTTCTACGCTGTGCCTGAGACTCCCTTCGACAGGGCAAGATAGCTCGGCCTGCAAATCGAAATTCGTAAATATAAATTTGTAGCAATCGTCTTTCAGATAAAATACAAGGCGAAAATTATTTTGAATTTATAGTAATGCCATTTTAAATGAGCTCAATAAATCACTTAAAAATGTTTTCAGTATTGTCCTTAGGTTACGAAAATGAAGGGATTGAAAAATAAAACTGGCACATTACAGAGTGAAGCAAATCATGGATAAATGAGAATTGACAAAAAATGACGCATGATTCAGTTTGCTTTGAAATCTGTTATTCAAAGGCAAACTCCAGAACTGAATAGTAACCTTCGAGAATTCGAAGAGGAAAAAAAACTTTATGTCTAATCAGCTATATACGCTAACAGTTTCTCGATATCGTAATTAGAGCGTCCAACAGCCGTGATTGTTTACCAATAAACTGATCATTGGCTTCACGTGCGCTATCTTCTATTGAGGGAAGAGGCCGTCATTAAGAGGCTTCAATGGCTGGCCGAGCGGCACTCAATCATGCCACACGCTCATGCTACACACACTCATGCTGCGTCACGCTCATGCTACACACGTTCATGCTGCGTCACACATGCTCAGGCTACACACGCTCATGCTGCGTCACCCACTCACGCTACACCACCCACTCATACTATGCACATGCTACACGATTGATCTCCAGTTGTTATCCGGCGAGTTCGAAATTCCGTCAGTTCGTTGTCATGAGGATCGAATTACGCTCTATTGAAACTCACTCCATTTATTGTAGAGTAATTTGGCTCACATCGCCCATAGAATCAATGGAACGAACAACATTGTCCTGGTTTCATTGATGTTATTTCAATATCAATTAATACGATTCTTGTCAACTGTCACTAAATAATTTCAGTTAATTCGATTTTAACAAACTGCCATAGGTGTGATTTGGCTACACGATTTGAGGATTTATATAAATTTTTCCTCTATTTAATATTCATTCTATATGAGTCGCTCATTTTTGGTCTCATTGAATCTTATAGTGTATACCATAAAAAAGACATGCTAGAGTATTTTTCATTCCGAATTAATTAAAAATTATCACTTTGATCAATAAAAACGTTTACATGCCTTGGGCTACTTATTATTAAATCTGTTTGATCGTCTAAATTGATCTATCGTTGCTCTAATGCTGGCTATTGACCTCACATGCAATGTTGTAAGATTATTCAATGCACTATTTGAACAGATTCGAGCGTATAGAGAAACTGCATCGATAGCTTCTCGGATAGAAAAAAAGATAGATTTTTATCCGATTAGCAACGGTAATTTCTTCTATAACTGTTAGAAATAGTTTAAATGTAGTTTTCTTCAATATTCAACAGTTTAAACTGCAGATTTTAATATGTAAATAACAGTTGTTACTCAGTTTGTGTAGACAAATCTTTACTATTTGATGAACGATGGTTTTTAGTTAGAGTTAAACGATCCCATTTATTAAATTCATTCATTTCATAATATCTTTTTGAAAATAGCTTATGTTTTTTGGCAAGTTACAGTTCATAAAACTTAATGTTGTGGTAAACTACCACCAACCACAAAATAATCAGTCATTACGCAGGGAGCTTTTCTCAGTAGATGCGCTAATGCATCATAATCAATCATTTGCGGACGTCTCCTCTACAGATTATAGCCAAGAAACAATACGCCAGCTACTACAGCAGATCAGAAATAGTGGCTACGAGCAGGCATTTTGGATCTCTCAAAAAATGAAAATAATATTGCAAGGGTATTTAAAGGTCTCAAAATTCATGGAACTTTTATTATTTTGCTACACTTTTACGAGATATATCATCCCATGTTAATCGTTATAATTTTGACTAAATTCCCTTCTTATGTCAAGAAACGATTTCAATTTACAAACCTGAGCAGATGAATTCAACTGATTGTAATACTACCCTGCCGTGGTTTTCGTTTCGCTTGATGTTTCTTTTATTTGAGATTGATGACATAGTTTCATTATTACACCGACTAAGGTAGTCATTATGTCCAAACATCAACACATTATGTCCGACCCATAAGCCCACTGCCCGATAACTCTTATCAAGTTGTGGGCATCTATCGGGCTTCTCTGCTGCTACGCTGCGCCTGAGACTCCCTTCGAAAGCCCTAGATGGCAGGACGTGCAAAAAATAATTTTTAAATATAAATTCGTTGCAATCGTCTTTTAGATGATAAAATCAGTCGAAAATTATTCTGAATTTTTATGAAAGAAATTTAAAGATGAGCTCAGTAAATCACAAAATATTTTTGTATACGTCCATACACTACGTAAATGAACTGATTGAAAAATAAAACTAGCACACTACAGTGTGAATAAGATTGAGAAAATAAGAATTGACAAAAAATAGCACATGATTCAGTTTGCTTTGAAATCAGTTATTCAAAGGCAAACTCCCGAACTGAATAGAAACCTTCGAGAATTCGAAGAGGAAAAAAAACTTTCTAACAAACGCTGGTGCGGAACGCGTCAACAAGGCCTCTATTACGCAGGAAAGACAATGTATTTAATGAGCTGGAGGCGATGCAGTCTCTCCAGCCTGGAGAGAAAAAACTGCCACTTTATGCTCTAATTGGGCAGGCGTGTTTGAGCGCCTTAATTGTGAGAACAAGTACAGGCGAAATGAATTTCTATTCACTTTGAAGCTTAAAATAATAGTGTCAGAGATGTCTTGTTTTTTTCTTTTAATACATACAGGGTTTGGGAAATGCATACCATAATTGAAAGCAAATTAGACATGATCGTTTTTTGCCTGGTTCTTTAAATTTTTATATTAATGACAACTGAAAAATACACCAATGGTTGATTCTAAATACGTATCAAAACATTCGTTGAGATTCATTCTGCATAGATTTTTTTGTTTCGAATTTTCAGCGCACAATCGACACCAATGAGTTGAAAAACCCTATTCTCAAGTGTCAAGTACAGATAAATTGGCTTTCCTATGTTTCCTCAACTATCAGCACACAAATTATCTCTCACTAGTGAACAAAATTTAAGTAAGTTTAATAAAAACATAAAAATATTTATTTGTTGCGCATAAGTTTTTGAAAACTTCGCACATAATTGGATCACTCCACATTCTGTCCCAGATTTTTCTTTTCAACAGAACTTTACTGCATCACAAAAATATAACTGTCCCGCACTGTATTCGGCTGCAGCGTCTGTAGAAAAATATTCGCAGATTTTAGTGAGAGATCTTGATCAAATTTCTATCCCATCACCAGTCCATTGATCGGCTGCGCAGTGTTGACCAAAGCTTTCGAACGGAGCGAAGCTTTGAGTGCACCAATAAATTCACTTGCATATTTATTTTGGGTCGTACTTTTTTCACTCATGGTAGCAGTAGAAGCAGTGTGTCAATTTGACAGACATCTAAGCTGAATTGGATTGCGACTATTGAACGAATATTAACTTTTAACTCTAAATTGTCCAATAAGAGATACGTATTGAAAAAAGTATAAGTATAGAATTTTGTTGACGTAATTTTGCGATTTCCTCCTTAAATTCTATATTTGTTTTGTTCCAAAATGTTACATGAAATAACAGGTGGCAATTATATCAAATAGTAGTGACACTTAGAAAAAAATGAACACATGATTTTACAGGAAATATCGTGTGTAACTAAATTCTCTACCTTCATTTATATTGTGAGCCAGTTGCTTAATTCTCAAGTTCAACAATTAATTAATATCTGCAGACAGTATGTATGAAGTGTTGAAATATTCTGTAACGGCTTTCACCAAAGGCCACGACCAGCTTTTATTTTTCGAATATTATACGTAGATATCACAAGTTTTTCTTCATATAAATTAATTAATATCTGTATAATTAATATCTAATATAATTGAATTATATTAGTTTAAAAATAATTGATTGAATTAAATTGGTTGAATTCTTAAAAAATCTCAAATCTCGTAGTCTCTAATTGATGGAGAATCTAAGCGCTAAGCCAACTCTTGCACTCTTACTTGAGTAATTTAATTTTCCTCGAGCGTGGCATTCATTGAGAAGGTTTTTCGCCGACATGGCTGCTACGCTATGCTTGGTTTGAAAGCCCCAGCAATTGTTAGAAATCATGTTGGCGATGGTTACAGAAAACTCTTCTGCTCAATAATCAACGTGCGTATCGAGCTTCAGATATTATATTAGTGATTTTATTTCTTGTAGCTACTATGAGATTATGCTCTTTGAAATCGTGATCTACGAACCAGTGAATTATTTTGGACATGCAGGAGAAAGATGAAGATGAGAAAATGTAAAATAGAAAAATGCAAAGTGACAAAAGAAACAACAATGACTAAAATGTTTACCAAAAATTAAATAATTGTGAATTGTTGCGTAAAGTTTGTATTTATTCGTGAAAAACATAATATTTAGAATGTTGATTCATAAAATTAGAAAAAATCGATTTATGAACATCAAAATTGATCTAAATTAATAGTTGAAAAAAGAAACACATTTGAATGATCAAGACGTGAAACGAAAAGATTCAAATTCGAGAAAAACAAAGCGGTATAATTCTAGACAATTTTACGTGGAAGAAAGTAACGACGTATGAAGAAATGATGATGTTCATCGCAAAGCCTTTGTTGAGTCTGCACCTGCTCGTCCTGCTGCTGCAATATGCAAGAGGTGAGTTCATTTCTCGACGCAAATTGTAGCCTTTCAGTTATATAAAATTCAATACACATGTGCGATTTTGTGTCGTTGGTAATAATTCAACATGAAGAATCGAACTATCAGAGGTAGTTAGAAAATTGTCAAAATCAGATTTATAAATCTTTACTGACAATTGAACAGATTTTGTTTTCTGCCAAATTACTTGTTGTATTCGAATATAATTTACGCTTAAATGTTTTATACGGGTAACTATATATAGCCAGAAACTTTACATAACAATTTTTTAACTCGCAAGTTCCCTTTGAGAAGTTGTGAATATTCAACCAAGATTAAAAAATGGACCTCACTGTTTGCCTGTAAATAATTTATTGAAATGAACTCAGTGCCTCACATCAATCATCGCACATCAATGCCTTTTGTTGACGACGTTGCCGTCAGAAAATAATCAGAGAAGTTCGTTCAATTGCTATTTGGAATTAGAATAAAATATTGCATCGTTCTCTTTCCTATATATATTTTTTCCTAAGGTGCACAGTAGTCTTTGATTTTTTATTACACCCTTTATAATTCGAGAGAACTATTTCCTTTTGTAGCCAATCATGTTCGTCAACTGCTCACAAAGGGAAACTTTTAAAGTTACTTTAAAATAATTACATATTGATCCTTCAAGACGACGTAGACTGATTATCCTCTCTCTTTGCTACTCAGGTACAAAGTTGTCTCTGAAGTGAAAATTAATTTAAAGCGATTATAATTGCGAGTAATAATACTTCAGACGATCAGAATTTAATTTCGTCTCTGTCCGTTTCAGTTGTTTTGGAATAATAACATGCATGCTTATAACCATACCAATATTCATATCAGTTCTTTGCGCATTGAACAGTAGTGAAAGACGAAGTTGACTTCTTGAATAATTTTTAAATTCTTCACATTTTTTTGCTACGACTTTTCAGTGTCGAAATGTACCTTGGAAACCCGCCGTTTTGCAATCATGATTAAAACAATTAATCATGATATCATAATAAAGTAATAACATTCGAATTACATCTTAGTAATTAACTAACAGTTTGATGGTTGAGTTAATCAATCATCATTATCAATCATCCGATTAATTTATATCGGATTAATTAATTCACTTGAACATTTGAGTTCAATTTCAGTTAAATCCCGTTAAACGATTGTTAGATTCTGAAGAAAACGGGAGATGCTCGGATCCGAATTCAGAATAAAAATATAACTAGTTTCAAGGAAGCTCAAATACGGGAATCTTGAGTCATTCTGTTCGCAAACGAACAGTAAAGTCTTGCAAGTTGTCCAGGAAATATTTCTTTCGTGACTTTTTTAAGCACGCTTGTTTTCAGTAACCATGCACTGCTTCACATACACCTGGATAGCAATATTTAATATTTAAAGGCTTTAGTAAGTTAAATCCCTTAGACCACTTTTGCTCTAATGCAAAAGAATTAAACAAAATCAAATTAAAAACTCGACTATATAATTACACGAATGCATACATTTAAGGGAAAACAAATTTAGAATAATATCAATAAAATTTAGAAAGTGATTATTTCGACACATGAAATTAAACTGTCTTGTTTTTATTCAGTGTTGCCTAGATTCTGAAATGATCTTATATTATCGGTTAAAGTAATGAACTTTTATGCACATTATGTTATTATATCGCTTTTAATAAAAGCGATATACTAACGTGCGGCCATAATTACCAATCATTCTTATGGACCTGAAATGGAAGTCGCGGTCTGATGAAAGTGGTCCCAGGTAACGTCATTATCTCCTCGCTCGGCTTTTGTTGGCTCATAAAAAGAATTCGCCTGAGATTCACTCTCTTACTTAGGCTGTAAAATTTAAAAATTGTTTCAAATGAACAGGAAAGTTATTCTTACGTAAGTAATGCAAGTTTTCTTCCCGTTATTAGTAAGCGGCTAAATTACATAAAAAGATTTCCTTGAAACTAGTTTTAAATATTTTTTGATTAATTACAATAAAAGGAAGAGCTTGCGGGTACGCAGAATAACTAAAGTTATTCGATAATGATTTGAAGTGCATTGAATAAAAAATATTAATTTTTCTTAAAAACAGGTGGTGTTAGTGCATCAAATCGTCAAATTTCACCTGACCTGGATTTTCAAGATCACTTTAGTTCCAAAAATGAAATAATGACAAACGACCATCATCATCTAGACGGAAATAGTTTACATTCGCAGCAGGACTCCAAAACTGGAATTATTATTCGTGAGCCTGATCGATCCTCTTCCAACACAACCGCCTCAACGTTGTCGTACGGTCTCCCTTTCAAACCGACTGCCGGTTTAATGTTTCAAAAGAAGAAGTCATCGAACGACGCTAACAGTTCCAAGTTTTCCCGGCCTCTTTCAATGGCAGCAACTGAGCCAAAATTTTATTTCACAAATCAAAATGTGTTGAAGGAGCCATGCTTAGGCACAGCAAGCACAGTCAGGTGCATGAAAAGCTCTTCTAACGTCAGCGGAAGCCTCGAACGAAGCATCAATCAAGCTCTGCCAAAGAACATCAAAAAGCGCGAGCACACCTCAGATCCACACCAAAGAGAACACGCGAGGTACAAATCAGCAAAGAGCGGCCGTAGAATATCTCGCAATGCTGCTGGAGGACCTTTTTTCGACCCAAAGTCTCCTGAAGAAGTGAAGGTGGCTATTGGAACCACGGCCCACGTGCCGTGCATGGTACGCAACATTGGGACGAAGCAGGTAAGCGGGTATTAATTGAAGGTCTTTGCTTATACAGATAATTTATGTGTAACCATAACAGTTTGCAAACACTAATCCTGCGTATTTAATATCCACAGTAGTTTTTTTACGAGTCAAACACCATTTAATTGAGACATGCAAACTTGATCTAGAATGTAATTACAATAATAATGGGTTGCGAATCTCACCGATAAAATGGCAAAATTTTTTTCGACATAAGAATGTCTTAATATGCGCATCTGTATTATAAATTGCTTGAGCGTTTGTACAGCTGGGCATGGGATCTATGATTCCCGCAATTCTGGAATCTAGTTTATTAGAATAAAATTAATCTAAGATAATTAAAGTAAGACCCGTTCTAACTTGCGTTTAACATTTTCAATAGCATTACCACTTGACTCTCTCGCTTAAAATTAAAAAAAAATCGTTTGATTTTTTAAAATCAATATTTATGCACTAATAGAAGAATAAATTTTTTTTATTTTATCTTTTCCTCCTAGTGCTACAATGCCTTAATAATTTTAAAAGTGCGTGCAAATTTTCACGACCTCTTAATGCCGCTATTCGATAACTATTGTGGATTCGATCTCGAACAGTCACCATACATTCAAGGCTTCAACTACAAACACACAAACAAACTTCGACAAATAAAATAAGACTTGATCGGCTTTTACCAGGTATCCTGGATTCGGAACCGCGACTTGCACGTTCTCACGGTAGGCGCCTTCACGTTCACAACCGACGATCGGTTCAGCGCGCACAGAGATACAATCACCAAAGACTGGGTGCTGATCATCCAGCACACAGACATCCAAGACTCCGGCCTGTACGAGTGCCAGGTGCCGACCAAACCTGTCACATCCCATACTGTGCAGCTCAAGGTGCTCGGTGAGTCTCTATTGATGAGTGAAATAGAATTTCTGTTAATTACTTAGCCGATTGAAGGGTTGGGTATGCTAAATAAAAGTAGCTTAGAGTATAAAAAATTAAAGGTAACGTTAAATTACGGACGACAGCACTCAAGATTTATGACTTAATAATAATCTTAGAAAAATGGTCAATAATTTTAAGACGTTTTGATAGCTGGGCGAATAAATAACCCATTTACTCATGAGCACCAATGTATACAATTAAGCAAATATACTGGCTATGCTTGAAATTCTCGAAGAATGCATAGCGCAGTGCAAAGAAATGTCTTCCCATCATTCATATATTTTAATGATATCGTTTATGGATTACTTCAGTTCTACCGTACATGTGCTTTATGCAAGAAAACAATGTAACTGAGTTGGTACCATAACTGCTTGTAGTGTTTGTATCGGTAGCATGTAATACCAATTCTTGATGAGAATAAAGAAATGCGGCGGGCGGGTGAGAGTTCGTCGATTATTCACCGGAGCATAAACAATATAATAAGAAATGATTTTATTTTAAAACAACACCGACGCCCGTTTTTAGCGCATTTTTTCACTTATGGAAAAAATGTACTATTGTGTTCGCCATGTCCGTCCGTCCGTTTGTCCGTCCGTGACTTCGCGTTTCCGTCGACGAGAAAATGCGCTCTCTGTCACTCACTGAGTTATATTTTTATTTACCTATAGTGCCCCGCACCGAGCTGGTGGGAACCTCAGAGGTTCACTTGGAACGCGGCTCATCGTTGAACCTGACTTGTCTGGTTCACGACTCGCCGTCTGCACCAGAGTTCATCCTTTGGTACCACAAGGACAAGGTAATTGAAAAAAAAAATTATAAACCGATAACAAACCTTGTAGATATCGCAGTACTTAGCATACAAGAAAGCATTTCCGATTATTATGTTCATAATACTTGAACGTGCAGGCAGTTCTTCAGATTGAAATATCTTCGTGCCGGTCTAGGGCTAGAGGTGAAGGTATTTACTTATTGTCGTCATAACTTGCTGGATTCTGATTGCTCTTGATACTTTGTATTCTCTATTTGAATAGGCTCGTTTCATAGATATAAAAGTGGATATACTGATTTAATTGAATATATATAATACAAAAAAATCCTTTTAATCTGAGCTATATATTCGAAGTGACGGTGATTCATTCAACTAAAGTAATACATGAATATTTCATTCAAGTAACAAACTTTCCTATCATAAACCGGATGTATATAGCTATCATAAACTTGTAACCAATGCTCCTGACTTGCACGGCTTGCGTTTCCGTTCTGCTCATCGACCAGCTTGTGAACTACAGCGCGAGCAGCGGCTCCATCAGCAGCGGCCGGGGCTCCATGGGCGCTGAAGGGGGCCGTGTCAGGGTACAGACAAGCCACACCAAAGACACGTCCAGGTCATCGCTGCTCGTCAGTAACGCCACCACACGAGACTCTGGACGCTATCACTGCGAGCCTTCAAACGCACCTAAGGCGGTCGCGCTCGTGCATGTCATTCCAAGTGAGTGCTTCACTTACCATGTCTTCTAATACTGTTGATACGCGGAAAGAAATCGTTGTGAAATCTGAATTAAGCCAGCTACAGATCGTAGTCAAAGTGAATGAAATGATGATAAGCAAAACTGCAATGAATTGAAATAAAAAATTGTTATGATAAAAAAGTAAATATAAGCACTAGCTTCAAAATTTATCATGGTTACCAATAATACGCGAAACAATTGCACATAATTTCAATTTGCGGCTCAGTTTCTACTGTCCTTTATCGCTCATATATAAAATAATTTAATTGAATTTTGCAAATACAAGCAGTCAAAATTCGAGTGTTTATTTCTCCGAGTGTTTATGCTGAGTAATATTTTTTTTTGTTACACCAATTCCGGTTTCGTACCGTGATTTCGTAAATTTTAAATTGTTTTCTCACGTCTGAGTTCCATATATAATTTGTTGCAGGCGAAGACCCAGCAGCCATGCAGACGACCAATTCTGTGGACGCCAACGAAGCGTCCGGTATGCTTCTGCTGCTGACAGCTCTGCTGGCCATCATGCTTAAGTCGGTCCTCCGTGTCTGCCGGCAATGTCCACCAACTCAGTGTCGGTCGTGGGCTCAAACTTACAGCATTGCGAGGCACTTACAGAAAATTGACTCCACTCATAAACACGAATCGCCTTATTTCTCAGGGTTCACTGATACTGATCTTTGTTGTGCAAAAATCGTTGTGGACCGAAAGAAATCTGTGGACCAGGCTCATCGAGATGATAAATTCAAAACGTTGTCTCGTCCAAAAGTTATTTTCTTCGAAAATCAGCGTACTGCACATGTCGATCGCAGTATGACTGTAAAGATGGGGACAGCGTCGACGACGTTGAGCAGCCCGAGTAAGTTCATTATTCATGAACTTGACTCAAAGGTTGCACATCCTCAGAAATATTATATGAGCGTGAGATAAGGCACTGATTCCAGTTGTGTTCAAGCTCCTAATAAAAGATGTGAATATTGCTGATAACCGAGAATAGTATACCCTGTCTAATATTCTTCGACTATAATGAATCAAACACAGACGATGATGCGTCTTTTGCTACGCCATTTGCATGCTTTCATGTTAAAATAATTCAAATGATAAAGTAAATTAGTTTAAACTTGTATGAACAATGAGATTATCACGTGATCTTTTAATTAAAGAAACAATTCTAGCGTTTTCATGGAGTATTTTTGAATGCGGAGTCTAGAACCAAGTGAAAAAATGTTTTTAAGTGTTTCTATGTTGAGATTACTAATACTGGTTAAGGGCCACTTTGATTCTATTTTACCCTAAATCGCAGATTTTAAGCTTTTTTCAAAGAAGCCGCGCAAGCAAACTTTCACGACTGTTTTGAAGCGAACACAATGGAATTCTTTCGTTGTGTAGTTGAAAGCTATACTCAAAAATTCAACTGAGTTTGAATGGAATCACACGTATAAAAATTTCCATTTACAAAAAATACTATCAATCGTTAATCAAGCGCAATTTTTGCAGCAATTCAGATCGGTTTTACTGGAGAGATAAACAAAAAATTTTGATCGAATCTACAAGTTAAGTTATTACTTTAACTTATTTAGAAAATAATCTTCAATCGAATTGAGCCGCCTAGATATTACAGTTCAGCATTAAATTACAATCGTTGCTTATTAAAAATGGTTATTCACTGTTGGTCATTATATGGCCAGTGTTAATTTGAGTACTAATGTTTTTTTATAGTTGGGTTTAAGACTTGTGGCGACAAATGCGCCCACCAGCCTGATCTCTGTTAGAAGCTACTAATGGTGAGCTGGGCATTGACCTGCCATATACTCAACTGTTGTTGGCCGTGAGCCCTTGCATGTCGAGAAGTGATGTGTAATCTTAAGTCGGAAACAAAGTGTAAAGTTTTATCTTAGCAGTGACCATTATATACATAATTCGTTTTCTGATAAAGATATCTACCCTATATTATTAGTTTTTTATTGCACCCACGAAGTAATCGAATTTGATATTCGCCGTTGAAAAATAAGCCGTTTTACTGTGAAAACGTTAATTTGGTTTACAATCACAGGTGTCTATCATTACAGGAATGGGGAGAGTAGAAAGAAAAGCGTTTCCATTAGTAAAATAATAGGCTTGGTTTTTTTCCTAATTTTTTCTTCATTATGCAAGTGCTCTGTAGCGGATTGTGTTCTTATAAAAAATTGTGTCCTTCTACATACGAAATTATTTCATTCAGTTTTTTAAATATTTACAAAAATTTTATTCATTTTTTATTATCACGATTTTTTTATTTTATTCACACCAATAATAACGTTACATATTGAACAGAAAACAAATACGACGTCACAGTTGCCAATTGTTAAAAACAGGATTTATTTAATTTCCCCGCACATAAAGTAAATTTATTAAAAATTCTACAGAGGATTACAAAGTTTGTTTCCACTCAGCGAACGTTTTTACTCGTCCAGATCAAAGGTAAAAACTCGACGATAAGGGCTTAAGCCTCCCAAGAATCTTCATTAATCTGGCAATTAGGCCGACTTTTCGTTTGTTGTCGAAGTTATGCGGGAACTTTTGAGGTTGGCTTCACAAGATGCACCGCAATGCCGTGTCTACTGGCACATTTTTACGTTCTTCTTGTGGATATATTAGAAAATGCTCGTTTTTCAATATTAGTATTTAGAACATCACATTCATCATAAAAAAATTAATTTTCATTGGTGAAAGTATAATGACAAAAATATAACTCAGTACTCACTGCAGTGAGTGACGGAGAACGCATTTTCTCGTCGACGAAAACATGAGGTCACGGACGGACGGACAGACGGACGGACGGACGGACGGACGGACGGACGGACATGGCGAGCACAATAGTGCATTTTTTCATTAAATGAGAAAATGCACTAAAAAGGAAAATATGGGCCTTGAAAGAGTTGCTGTTTTTACGGCAACTTTATGATTTTGGATAAGGAAATGTTTCCTTTGGTTAGCGAATAATAATAATAATGTTTATTTGTTTTAAACTTTACTCTTCGGAATGAAGGAAAGCGTGATGACCACTACATATTTGAGTATGCGAGGGCTGGGCAAATTATTTACTTGATCTACTATAGAATTCAGTTCCAGAAGACATTTTTTAGTGCTTCATAATCGTGTACCTCAGACCAGCTAATCCTTCCACATAGAGTGCTCGTTGGATTCCGTATAAAAAGAATGAAAATTTTAAAAATCTCATTGAAGTTCCAAGTACTCAGTGACTCAAAATATCATCCGGATATCATCTCGTGTAAAGTATTTCTCATTTACAGTTACCTATAAAAGAGCTACAAATGAAAAGCCATCAAAGGATAGAGAAGAAGGCATGGAGGTTTTATATTCATGAGACATCAAAGGATTGAGCTAAGAGTTGAAGCGTTCTTGTTTGCTGGCGGGCAAGAAAGAACAAAAAATTGTGGTTGGAATATGAAAGCCTAAACTAAAATTCTTGGTGGTGAGTGGCTGTGGCTAAAAGGTTTTATTTCCTCGACTGTTGTCAATGTTGTAACAAGCAAAATATGTTGAGGATCATTGAAGTTCTTAATTAGTGTCAGAAGAAATATTTTAGCTCGGTCTGTGTTCAGTGTTCCAATACACTCAACATCGTCGATATTTTGGTGGAAATCGAATTAACCAGCAAAAAATAACGGTACCCTACTAAAATTTGGGATATTCATGGATCGCACAGAGACAATATTATGCTTATCTCTGGAGGCTTTAGAGGTTTTAGAGGCTAATCTTTAAAGGCTTGAACAATAATTACTGAATTTAGAAGTGACTGACCTCACAAGCCTGAAATTAACACAGCCATTGCGCAGGTGTAAAATTTATATTTTTTCTCGAGCTTGATAGAGAACCAAGTTTGTTTGCGCGGCAGTTTTCAGTGAATTGCTTTATTCAAAATCTGGTATATCCACATACTTCAAATGATCATTGAACTTGCGCAAGTGAAAATTTAATATACATGTGAGAATTTAGTAGAGATCTATGTTCGTTTATTGAAGTTATCGGTAAATAACCAAATTTCAAAACGACTGAATTCACATACATAAAATGGTTACAGCCACAATGTAATTTCAAACTTTCATTATTTTTCGAGTTTGGACGTGACATGTTCATTTTCGGTAGTTATCTGTTAATTACATTATTTAGAAACGACAAACTCACACAACTAAAATGGGTACCGCCACAGGGCATTTGCAAAATTATTTATTTTTGTATTTTTAGCGCATTTTCTCATTTATGGAAAAAATGCAATATTGTGCTCGCCATGTCCGTCTGTCTGTCTGTCCGTCTGTCCGTCCGTCTGTCCGTGATCTCAAGTTTTCGTCGACGATAAAATGCGCTCTCTGTCACTCACTGCAGTGAGTACTGAGTTATATTTTTTTCCTTTGCTTGAGATCAACTTAAATTCGCAGCACTTACTTTTTAATTGTAAAATCCTTTAACGACAATAGTCACCGGCGTTTAACAATATTCACATAGAATTTTAACGGCGTCACCATGTTTAAAAAACACACCATTTTTTCTTCATAACTTTTGAAGAAATTGACTTTACCCTCGGGAATTTATAGCGAAACATTTGCTTTTTACTACTGCACATGCACAATAATTTCCAGGGTTGTATTGTTTGTCTAGGTAGCAAAATAATTTAAATGTATAAAAAGCCACGTTTACGCAAAAACAAAACATAGGGTTAAAAAATTGTAGGCGTTGATGCTTAAAAATGATGCTTAAAAAATGTAGGCGTTGATGCTGAAGGCGTTTAATGCTTAAAAATAATATATGCCTAGATTAAATAATATATGCCTAGATTTTTTTTTTTTCAAAATATCAGACTTTCTGAATTACGTAAAGTGAGTCTATGTTAGGTTTTCTATTTCTGGAGAAAATATTATCAGGTTAACTGGCAAAAGTCTAGAGACTTTGATCCATCATTTCGTTGCTTCTCTTCTATATCCTCATTTGAAGTTAATGCAGCTTGCGCTGATATTACACCTAATAAATGCAAGTGAGATATTGCGTGGAATCTTGTCAAGTTATCTTCTGTTTAGACAAAAAGACTGAGATAAGACATGACAAATAGTTCTGAAAGAAGAAATTACGTGGAAAAGGCGCAATACATTTCTAATAGGGTGGAGGCTAAGGCGGTTTTTAGTGATGGTATCAAAAACAAACGACCAATTCAAGTTTAGGGCGACCAGTTTACTTTAAGAGCCACACGCAGGATGAGCTTCTTCTGAAATTTTGTTCTAATTTCATTACGAGATCACAAGTGGAAATAATAAAATTATCATTATCATATGCCTTACCGATGGACAAATTAAGAACTGATAACGAATTGCGCTGGTTCGGTAGACCAAACCTTCAAATTTTAGTGAATATTCAAATGATCGAAGTCATTACATTAATTTTCCCAAATAATTTTAACGTACAGTATAATAGTAAGACCGAATGTTAAGTGGATCGTGCGACGGCAATGCGCAAGTGTTTAATAATGATGACGCATTAAATAAATGTCAACGAAAAGTCTCCCTCAGTTAGTTCGCCAACATGACTTATTTTCTCGAAGTATCGAGAATTGTTGCGGCCTCGAGAAGGTCATAACTGCTCCCCGGAGGCCCCAGGGCGGCGCCGGCAGACAATATCGTCAGGCACTCGTAATCCTGCCCCTGGGCCCTACCCTGGCCTGCTACTGGAGTCCTGTAGGGACGAAGCAATCTAACCTTGGGGACATATATCTATAAATTAGCCTTAAATACATTAAATTCCAACGGTAAATGATATGTTTTTATTATAAACATTACCTAAAGAAGTGATTAATTGAGGGACTGATTAGTGATTAATGTCTAACCATTCTTATTATTAAATTATGTTGATTAACCACTCCAGCCGACAAAATATCAGATATTCAATTTATACATGAGATTTTAATGTCTCAAGGTTCAAATATCTTCGAGAAAAATATAAATCTAAACTAGAGGCAAATTTTAGACGAGATATTTCTTAATTCGACATTTATTTTATTCGCAATTTTAGTTACGTAAAAGGAATTATTTTAACAGTTTTTAAAAAGAACTGACAAAAACAGTTATATAATCTTATTTCAGAGGAACGTAAAACATTGAATTGTACTGTAATAATATATAATTTAAGTTCGGGTACGTTATTTCGATGCTTCAAAGGCTCGATAAGTTAAGTTGATGTTTTAATATTGGAAAACTTGCCGTTTGAATACCAATAAAGTCTTTCAGGCTGTTTAGATCCAACTTTGAAAAGGTACATGTGCGAAATTTAAATTATAATTGATTCAAGTAAAATTTAATCTTTCTTCCCTGGCGTTGTTCAATCTAAAATACAAACTATAAAGTCTTCCTTTAAATAAGATATTTATGTCCTTTAATATATAATAATGGAATATGAAAATATTTAATATAAGAGTGTTTTAGTCCTGAAATTATTGAAGATCTTCTATTTAACATCTTCAGAACATTTAAGGTCTCCGTAGAGGCATCCTGTTCTTAAAGATTATTTTCAGTGTATTTTTGAAAGAATTAAAATAAATCTAATTATAGTAGGGATACTAATAAGGATATTGCTGATAAGAACATTCATGAGATAGGATTTTGGATTGATAAGGAATTAAAATGTTATTAATGGAGCAAGTTATCTACTTCTTTACGAAGTTTTTTATTATTTATGGGATATGGAATGACGGGATCCGGAATAATGGGAATTTTAAAATAACAGGGATTATCGATCCCTAGTAGCGCTGGGATAACCTGCTGGTAATTTGAATTCAGAGAATATCGGCCAGTTTATTAAATCATTCCCAGAAAGAGACATTTTGGAACGTTGCGTGCGCGTTTGAACTTTGTCGCGCGTGACATTTGAATCACAGTCGAGCGTCAGCTCTGCG